GTTCGAAAGCAAGAAATTGCAAGTAGATAAATAGGTACCACTTCAGTGGGAAGGTAACAGCGTTCCGTGCGCCTTGGGGTTTAGTCATGCCGGCCACATGACCACGGAAATGTCTTCGGACAGCACTGGCTCTTCGGCTTTGAAACGGAGATGAGCACCGCAACCCTAGAGTTGGATTCGACTGGCTTTCGAGCAAGGGAACCTTTATTTTTTTTACTGTTTATACAGTCCATTTCCTATAATGCAGAATATTTCCATTATGCAGTCTGTCCTCTTTTGCCTATTGGTTCATAGTCAAGTTCTATCACTTTCCTTTATTCTTTTGCTCAAAGTGCAGATGCTCCAAGTGGTAAGTCAAATGTCAGGGTTTTGCAGTTCCCCTTTAATGCTCTTGCACTTTCTGAGGTCATCCTGCTATTCAAATATTCATGTTGCAAGGCTTTTAAAAATGCTGCTGTTGCTGACAGTGTTTATTTTAGAAAAGATTTATTGAACAATAACATCTACACATGCAAATAATAAATCAGTGGAAGGATTACATTTCAGGAGCTAATATGCAAACAGCTAAATCACACATGACAGAGGCCTACTGGATTAGCATATATTGTTCCTTTTACTAACAAAGCCAAATTCAGCACTCTTACAAGTTTGGCAGGACTGAGCCTAGAGTCTCAGGCAAGTATTCACTCCAGGCACTGACCACCCGGTTATGGCCAGTGGAAACAACAGCAAGAGAGACTAGCCAAATAACACAAGGAAGCCTCCTTCCATCCTTCATCCAGAGAAGCTCAGGTTATATACATCCTGGCCCTCATAAAGGCTTCCAAGGTCAGTCTTGCTTGCTACTCTAAACAAGGAGATCTCCTTTGAAATTGACCACCTTCTTGGGTTCCCCACACTGCCTCAGCAAATGCAGGGAGAGTGGGAGGGGGACTGGGGGTGGAACTTGTGGAGGGTGTGATGTCATTTCCAGGGGATGCTGTAGGTTGCCTCCCCTAGTATCTATGGTCCTTACCATAGTGGAGACTAAGGGAAATTACTAAAGCATTATGACATAAAGGCCATTTATTCTCTCAGGTAAATGTGACTCCTACAACCTTAATCCCAATCAACTAAACAGAACTGATAAAGGAACTAGAGCAACCACATCAGATGAAGAAACAAAATATGAGGATTGTCTGTGGGATGGGCCATATGTTGCTCATCCCATCCCTGCTGGCAGCCAATTTTGTAGTCCAGAGGCATGAATTCTCTATGTGTTACATCACACACACCTCTTCTGACATGTTTTGTGTGGGAGGAGAGGGCACTTGTCACAGGCTTGGCACTGGATAACATCTCTTCATTGCTCATTACATCTAGTTCTCCCTTGTTAGTATAATGAAGAATCGCAAAGCATCTTAATCGTCCTTGTCTACCCCTTCATATGAAATCTGGATCTGACCCAGAGCAACAGTTTTACAAACAGACCCACTTCTTCTGGTTCTGCTCATTTGCAAATTGCTGTCCTGGCCAGAAAAATATTGATTGCTCTGAACCTGACCACTGTTCATGAATTTGTAAAAAACACACACATTTTGAGTGGGGCTTCCCTTGGAAGTATTCAAGACAAGCTGTGGTGAATGTAGAATGAATCAGCCCATCTCTTGATGGAAGTGAATTGTGGCAAAGCTCTGAGCCCTGTTTTAAATAAACTCTATGAACTTCCAAGACAAATTCAGAGTACCCTTAGAAGCCCTAACTAGAGGACCTGCACATCATAGGGACTGGCTTTCCTACCTGAACCTGCCTGGCTGTTTAGATTCTCTGAAGGGCTCTCTTTCACAGTTCATTGTTGTTCTAATAATGGATCAATAACAGTATGGGACAGAGTTTAATTTGGGTCTTCCCCCCCCCCCCCTGCCTCATCTTCTGCTACCCCCCATGAAGCCTAGCAGCGCAAGCCTCTGCATAGCTAATTGCAATCGAAGCCCATTTATTTTAATAAACTTAGAAAGGAGTTACTTCGTACAGTTCTGCACCACTCAGGTTGTTTTAGGCAAGCAAAACCTTTATTGCAACAGGTTTTACTCAATGAATGGGACTTGCATAAATTTGTATTAATGCATGAGGTTTTAATTTTCTATTACAGAAGGAAAGGTATGAATGATGGAAAGTGCCATTAAGTTGCAGCCGACTTATGGTGACCCTGTCGAATTTTCAAACCAAGAGATGAACAGATATGGGTTGTAATTGCTTGCCTCTGAGTAGTGGCCATGGGCTTACTTGATGATCTCCCATCCAAGTATTAATCAGGGCTAACTGTGCTTTACTTCTAAGATTAGACAAGATCAAGCTAGCCCGGGCCATAAATTTGTCAATGCATGATGTTTTAATTTTCTATTATGCGAGAAAAGGTATTACATTTTAAAAGTAAAAGTATGAGAAGACATGCCAGCTAGCCTTTCTTGGTGGGAAATGAACAGAAGAAGAAGAAGAGGAAGAAGAAGAAGAAAAAGAAGAAGAGATTGGATTTCTACCCCGCCCTTCACTCCGAGTCTCAGAGCGGCTTACAAACTCCTTTCCCTTTCCCTTCCCCTCCCCACAACAGACACCTTATGAGGTAGGTGGGGCTGAGAGAGCTCTTTCCAGAATTGCCCTTTCAAGGACAGCTCTTCTCAGAATTATGGCTTGCCCAAGGTCATCCAGCAGCTGTAAGTGGAGGAGTCGGGAATCAAACCTGGTTCTCCCAGATTAGAGTCCATGCACCAAACAGCTGCTTTTCATCTAGCAGACGACCCAATCAAAGGGAACTTCCTAAAGCACCTTTCAATTAATCATATATCTAATCGTGATATATGGATCAAAAAACCAGGTCTTTCTGCAAACCTGGAGTAGGTTTTGGAATGGAAAACAACCAACTGATTGGGCAGGTAGCAAGGAAGGGAGTAGGCAACTGGGAGGCAGAGTATAGGTTGGAAAAAGAGGCAGAACGGGAGGGGAGGAAACTAGGACTAGCTCCTACTATAACTCCACACAGGTTCTCATCATGTCAATCCTGTTGATGTCATCTTATATGGAGTTGGATCTCATGGAGGATTTTCACTGAAGGAAGGGGTGTGTGATTTCAATTGATCCTCACCTCCCACTGTGGACTTCCTACTTCTGTTCTTCCTTATGCTGTTAGGGGTGGAGGTCTCATGTACAGTAGGAGCAGGAATTTGAGGCGAAATTTGCTCTCAAGCGGGGGGGGGGGGACACACAAGAAAGTCCCACACTGCTGTGGAAATCCTTCTGCTGAAGGACCACTCACTCCTTCGTGAACCTACCTGACCACGATGATCACCTTCTAAAGCCGTGCTTTGGGTGTCCCCATCTTCTGAGATTATGCAGGCAGCAACCCAGGCACCCAAACTCTGGAACTCTCTCCCCAGGGAGATTTGCTGTCCCCCTTGTGTTGCCATCTTCTGCCAGCAGGTGAAGACTTTTTTGTTCCATTTGGCATTCCCTCAGTGATTCCTCCGTAACGTTCTACGTTTTAATTGTTGTTTTTATATGTGTATATATAATTTGGCTCTGGTTTTAATTATTTCAATTATGTGAATTTGTTTCTTTTGATCAGGGGTCGTTTTGTAGAAAAAGAGCTAGGGGAACTCATTAGCATACCTCATTAGCATATGCCACACCCCCTGACATCACCGGAAGTGTGTCATAAGGCCACACCCCCTGACATCACCGGACGTGTGTCATAAGGCCACACACCCCGCCCCCAATGGTCCCGGCCGCCGCCGCCGGCCTTGCAGCTCCACTGCCGAGCCCCATGAGGGGCCCAGCGGTGGACCTGCAAGGCCGGCGGGAGTGCAAGGAAGCCCCCACAAAGGCCCTCCCTGGCCCCAGGCAGGCAGGGGTGGGGAGAGGCAAGGAGGAAGCAACTTACCCTCCCTCTTCTCCTGCCTCCTCCTGGCTGAATGAGGGCCGGAAGCGGGGCGGCCGGAAGCAGGGGTCGGGGCTTCGTCATGTGCCCCGCCCCCCGTACCTCACCCGGGGGAACTGCGATCCCCTGCGATCCCCCCCAAAATGACCTCTGCTTTTGATGGATTTTAAGATTCTATTATGTAAGTTTTAATTTGTTAGCCACCTTGGTGGCCCTGATGATGGCAGAGAGGCAGTGTATAAATGTAAGATAAAATAAATAAAACATTTTAACAGGAGTCAAGCCTTGCTTGATCAGAATTTTCACGGTCCCTTCCAACAATAAAACAGTGTCTGAAAATACTGAACCATAATAATTATTCTTTTCTTTCAGCATCCACAATGGAAAAGATATAGGGCACGATCCAGCTGACTGTGAAGCCTGGTGGATTTTGAGGGAAAGGCATGCACTTAACTGTCTCCTATAGGATTTCAAAGTGCTTCACTTTGGCTGGAGTATGCCCTCAATATTTCTGGAGTTCACAACCTGCTCCTAAGGATTGCAGACAAATGAATTAATACCAGCAAAGCAATGAAGACCACAGTGCTATGCCAAGATTTTAAAGGAACAAGAATGATATTGTACACAGATGTGGCAATAAAAATGTTTACAATAGAGTTAAGTACAGAATTTCCAAACTGAGTGGAAGAGATAAGAAATTCAAGTAAAGGACAGGGTAAGTTGAAAAGCTTAGAAAGATTCACAGCCGCCCCCTTTCATATATTCAAGTTTAAATTGCAGAAATATAGCAAGAGAGAAAGAAATAATATTGTAAGAGCCTGTGTGGTAGTTACTTTATCAACAGTGCTGTCCTAAATAGTTACAGTCTTTTAAACCCATTTAATTCAGTGGACTTGGAAGGGAGCAACTGCTAGGCCTGCAAAGTAAACCGGAGAGTTTAAACTGTGATAGAACTCAAACTTATTAGCGACCCCAAAAACCTTGGTTCATAGAATATTATATTTCCCATTTTTTCTTTTAATCAGAGACTCTTTGCACATGAAAGGGAGACCAGTTAACACAGGAAGAGAAAAACCACATAAAAAGCTTAGAAGAGACCACAATCCTTCAGATTTTCTTTGATGATGATGTCTGTCACAGCATCAAAGACAAACTTAACATTCTGGGTGTCCGTAGCACAAGTCATGTGAGCATATACCTCCTTATCGTCTTTTCTTATGTTCAGATTTAGGAACTGGTTCTTGATGTAATTTCCAGCATCTTCAAAGGTGTTTGATCCTAGTTGGAGGGGGGAAAGGGGGACTGTCCATAAAATATGTCATATTTCTTAAAACCTTTCCCTTAGTCACAGAATCTATCTAGGTGTACTCTCCAGATGGCCAGGTGTGGCTGATTCAGTGAAAGGCCCAGGTTTGCCCTTTGTAATTTCTGAAACCACTAGCTCCAGGTTGGAAAATTCCTAGAGTTTGGGGGTGGAGCCTAGAGAGGGCAGGGTTTGGGGAGGGGAGGGATCTTAATGAGGTATAATGTCATACCATCCATCCTCCAGAACAACCATTTTCTTCAGGGGAACCAATCTATTTAGTCTGGAGATCAGTTGTAATTTGGGGAGATCTACAAGGTCCCACCTGGAGGTTGGCAACCCTAGAAATGACTCTAAACCCCCCAGAGAAGTGGAACACTTAAACTTACCATTGTATTCTGGAAAACAGACACTGAGATGCACTTTAGCTATCTTCTCTTGGAAGAGATCTTTCTTGTTCAGAAACAGCACAATAGAAGTGGTTGCAAAGTACTTGTGGTTGCAGATGCTGTTGAACAAGTGGAGGCTTTCATGCATTCTGTTCTGTGGAAGTGGGGGGAAAGATCACAGAGTATTACCCTTGTTCACTCTCTGTGATACACTTTTCCCATCATGGCAGCAGCCATTCATGGGGGTCAACTTGGGCAGGTTATCAGGACAGGGGATATGAACACTGCTCAAATACCATCTAAGGCTACACTAAATCCCTTCCACAAAACACAGTCTTTATCCTGGTTCTTTGCTTACCACTTCTTCATCTTCCACAAGGACCATGTCATAGGCACTGAGGGCAGCACAGAAGATGATGCAAGTCACACCTTCGAAGCAGTGTATCCACTTTTTCCTCTCAGATCTTTGCCCTCCCACATCAAACATCCTAGGAAACAAAATGCATGGCTTATTTACAATAGTTCTATACTATTTGTCCATTGTACACCAAAAGCAGAACAATTAAAACCCCAGTACTGGTTTCTTAAAAACAGATTGGGGCTTATTAACACACTGTTCCAACAAGAAGGAAACATGCTAGGGAATCCAATAAGCCAATGTGGATGAAGTGCTAAGAGAAAAAAAGGAAATGTTCTAGAAATAGAGGCAAGGACATACCTCTAAAGAAGAGTATCTGCGGGTTGCTAGGCATTGTAGTTCAGCCATCAGAGAGGCCAAAGCTCACAGTGAACTAAAGCTGGCCATGGAGGCTCACTACAACAAGAAAATCTTCTTCAGATATGTGAGGAGCAAATGCAAGATAAAAGAGGCAATGGACCCACTGTTGAGTGAAAATGGATAAACTCTGAAGGAGTTCAGAGAGAAAGCAGAAAGGCTTAATGCCTATTTGAATTAACTTTTTCCCCCCTGAAGAAGAGAACAGGCTCTTCTATAGATGGCAGTAGGCAAGGCACAGCATCTGGGCTGCTGGTTGACATACAGAGAGGTAGTTGAGGCTGCACTGAATGAGTACAAATCCCCCAGGCCAGATAGTATGCACCCAAGAGTGCTAAAAGAATTTTCTAGAGACCTTGTAGAGCCTTTGTCCATCATCTTCCAGACCTCGTGGAGGATGGGATACATGCCACAAGACTGGAGGTCGATGTTCTCCCAATTTTCAAAAAAGGGAGGAGGAAACTACAGGCCAGTCAGTCTGACCTCTGTCCCAGGGAAGATACTAGAGCAGATTTTAAAGGGATCAATCTACAAGCATCTAAAGGACAACTTGCTGATCCAGGAAAGTCAGCACAGATTGTCCCCAACAGGTCATGCCAAACCAACCTCATTTCTTTCTTTGATTGAGGGACTGCTGTTGATGTTGTTTACCTGGATTTCAGTAAAGCTTTTGACAGCATTCCCCATGATGTTCTGATGGGTAAACTATGGGACTGTGGACTGGACTCCAGGATAGTTAGGTGGATAGGGAATTGGTTAGAGTACATACTATCTGGCCTGGGGGCGGTATTGCCCACTTTGGGAACCAGTGGGCTAGATGTTAGGAAAAACTTTTTACAGTAAGAGTTGTTGCGGTGCTCATCTCCGTTTCAAAGCCGAAGAGCCAGCGCTGTCCTACATAATGTAGGCCACTGCAGCTCCTACATAATGTAGAATAGATAAACGTAAAGGTTCCCTTGCTCGAAAGCCAGTTGAGAACGACTCTAGGGTTGCGGTGCTCATCTCCGTTTCAAAGCCGAAGAGCCAGCGCTGTCCGAAGACGTTTCCGTGGTCATGTGGCTGGCATGACTAAACATCAAGGCGCACGGAACACTGTTACCTTCCCACCAAAGTGGTACCTATTTATCTACTTGCAATTTCTTGCTTTCGAACTGCTAGGTTGGCAGGAGCTGGAACTAGAGACGGGAGCTCACTCCATCATGCGGCACCTGGGTCTCGAACTGCTGAACTACTGTCCCTTCCACAGCCTGCAGTTCAGCATCTTAACCCCTTGAGCCACCGCAGCTCAATACCAAGTGGTATATTAAATGTTAGTATTGATGTCAAGGTGGCTTCTTAGAACAGTTAGGAAATAGATACATACTGATACCTGTTCATGGGGTTGGGCTTAAAACTATTGTTAAAAATCATGGTTATCCCCAAAGGCTTTATTTCTACTATCTGACCAGTACTTTGTTATGTTGATGACTTAGAATCAGGGTCACTAAGTGGGGCGGCTGGGGGACAAAATTCCTGAGTCCTTAATTAGCTGGAGGGCCCCTAAAGCCAGGACCATGGTGCATTCAGAATTCTTATCAATTTATTTTATTTCTAATGCAGTACTGCAGTATATCCACTAGGGGTGGAGAGAAGGCACAGCATAATAAACAGCAGTAGCTCTATGTCAGGGGTGGCCAAACTTGCTTAATGTAAGAGTCGCATAGAATAAACGTCAGATGTTTGAGAGCCGCAAGACATTAATAAATATTACACATGTTTTTATTGGAAAATATGAAAATTTGCTTTTTGTTAACAATAAATGAGACTGCCAATAAAAACAAAAGGGGTAAAACCAGATATTACTAATATTTGTCTAATGATATTCATTTGCTTGCTAATTATATTTATTTGTCTAAGAGAGAGAGTGAGGTGGAAAGAAAGAATGAAAGAGGTGGAAAGAAAGAGAGAGAAACAAAGAAAGCAAATAGATGAGGGGAGGGAGGGGGAGAAAGGAAGGAAAGAAGAGGGAGAAAGAGAATGGAAGGAAGAAAGGGAAATGAAAGGTGGAAAGAAAGGCGGAAAGAAAGAAAGAAAGGTGGAAAGAAAGAAAGAAAGGTGGAAAGAAAGAAAGAAAGAAAGAAAGAAAGAAAGAAAGAAAGAAAGAAAGAAAGAAAGAAAGAAAGAAAGAAAGAAAGAAAATAGATGGGGGGAGGGAGGGAGAGGTGGAAAGAAAGCAACTAACTTTATATATGTCTTCCAACCCTTCCCCATGCCCCCACACTGACTGGCTTGGCTTGGAAAAGGGATTTAAAGAGACAAATGCCTTCCCCAAGCCAGCTGGCCGGGGGGGGGGCTTTGAGAACACATTTAAAGTTGCTTTCTTTCTCTCCCCCCCACCTCAAGCCTACCCAGGGATGGGAACACTGGTTAGAGAAGGGAAGACCGATTGGGGAGGCATGCCACCCCTTCTCTTCCCCAGCCACCCTGCTGAGAGCCACACAATATGTGTGAAAGAGCTGCATGCGGCTCCCAAGCCACAGTTTGGCCACCCCTGCTCTATGTGCTGGCCATGGCTTTCTGCAAAGTTTACTACAACGAGGCAAACACTTGCATATCCTGCTAAACTCATCAACCAAGCCATCAGTGGAGCAAAGCAAGACCAGCCAGCACAACTCACGGCTGCTACAGTCATTGCCAGGAAGCAGCCTCCTAACAACTATTCCTCTTTTCGTAATTTCTCTTCCTCTTTTTCACACTTTTCTCCTCCTTTATTTTGCTCTCTTACTTTCATGATCTGCTTTCATTTCTCTCTCTCCTTCTTGTAACCAGTGTTCCCTCTAAGCTGAGTTAGTGTGAGCTAGCTCACAGTTTTTTAGCCTCTGGCTCACACATTTTTGTCTTTAATGCCAGTAGCTCACAAAGTAGGATATTTGCTCACAAGACTCCACAGTTTAGGAGCTTTGTTTGTAACCCCCCCTCACACACCTTCATTTGTCAGCCTTGCTCTCATTTCCTTTTCATCCCTTGTTGGCAGCTTATAACATAACAGTAGTATAGCAGCAAACCTGTGTTAATATTATGAAGGGGCAGGGGTCATTTCATAGCAAAAGACGTGCAGGAGCTAATTAGCACAACTCCTTAGCATAACTTATTTGCACATGCCACACCCCCTGACATCACCAGTAATGTGTCAGAAGGCAACACCCACTGCTCAGGCTCCACTGGTTTTGGATTGCTAGCTATTGGGGGGTAGGGGAACATGCAGATCTGTCCTCGCAGAGGAGGGAGAGCTTGTACCTGAATAAAACCTGGTCTTAAAGGTGCCACTGGACTGTTTTGGATGGGAGGCCGGGGGGGGGGCTCTGCAATTTACCTGGCTGCTTCTTGCTCTGACTGAGGGCTGCTGGGAGCAGGGGGTGGGGCTTGTTGCCTGTGCCCGCCCCCTAGGCTCTTTACTGCCGGAGCTCCGCTCCTGTGTGCTCCTGCAGGAAATGACCCCTGTGAAGGGGGGTTAATATTTCCATATGATCTATCAAAGTAGTAAAAGGATGCTCCCCCTCTCCACCCTTTACATACATGGTACTGGAATGTTGGTCTGTTTTAATGGTTACTCATGACAAAAATTAGGAAACCCCCCCCCCCCCAATTTAATTATATTTTCAACACTATACAGGCAGAGGGTTGTTGTTGTTGTTATTAGCATCAGTGGGATATCTTAGATCCCTTTTTAAATGCTACTTTGCTACTGAAAGTTTATTGTAATGTGTTTCTGTTCTATAAATCATATGCAAAGCATTTTACAAATACTGATCTGCCTCAGCTACCAAGAAAAAAAAAAGAAAGAAAGAAAAAGAACCCCTTTTTAGATATGAGAAGTGGCCTCAATACTTGTGCCTAAAAGTCAGTATAACTGATGTTAAAATCACAAAATTAGAACATGGTTTGGATCAGGGTCATATGGAGGGGGGACGACAGGGGGAATCTTTGTCCCGGGGCAATGGTGGGTCTAGGCAGCTCAGAACAATTGCTGGTGGGTGTCAATGGATGTTGTTAGGAGATAATCTTCTAATCTCCCTGGGGTTTCAGGAACATAAAAAGGGGGTTGGTGGCAGCTACTTCCTATGTCATATGTTGTCCTCTTTAAGACATAGTGGTGCCATCAGAACTGAACTTTGGAATGGGGGGGGCACAGGTCATGGGTTTGGGGCAGAAGGCAAAAGCATGCTGTAGCTTTGTTTTTGAAGTATGTATTACCATAAATCCTGCCAACCTAGCAGTTCGAAAGCAAGAAATTGCAAGTAGATAAATAGGTACCACTTTGGTGGGAAGGTAACAGCGTTCCGTGCGCCTTGGTGTTTAGTCATGCCGGCCACATGACCACATGTCTTCGGACAGCGCTGGCTCTTCGGCTTTGAAACGGAGATTAGCACCGCAACCCTAGAGTCGAAAGACTGGCTTTCGAGCAAGGGAACCTTTACCTTTATTACCATAAAATCTAGAGTGTAAATGTGGCAGGAGGGTGCCTGATGGGCCAACCTGGGAGAAAGGGACCAGCAGGGAAACTGCTGCAACCCCAGAGGGAAACTTACAGGTGGGATGGGAGCCTGTATCAGCAAAAAAACCCATAAACCTTAAAGGGTTAACCCAGGCTCTGGCGCCAACAAGCAGTCAGGCAGTCAGACAAACCAAGGCTGGCAAAGAGTCTCAAGTGGGAAGAGGAGCCCTCCACTCTGGGAAGACCAGGTGAGGCTATCACAGGAGAGGGCAATTTCAGTCCATGGGTGGAGCCAGCAGGTAAAAGAGACATGCCATGAGGCAGAAGGGAGATGAAGCCAAGCAAGCCGTTATGTTTGGACTTAGTCTCTTTATAACCTGAGCTGGTCTGTTAATTAAAGATGGCTACTGCTGTACCTGGTGGGCTCTGTCTGGTTACTGCAGCCAGAAACGAAGGTAAGGGCATAGACAAATGTCAAACCCCCAGCCTTTTATTACTCTTGCCACTCATAGTCAAATTAACCTATTTGCATCACTAAAAATACATGCATTTCCCCCAAAGGTTTTGATCTCAAATTATGCAAAAGTTGTTTAAAAAACACACGTAAACAGAACAACTGAATTGAAATATTTTTCCAGCGTTTTGGCAGGGGGAAAAATGGATTCCTACAGTACAAGTGAACCCTAAAATGACCAAATATGCACAGGCCCTTGCATCCCTAAATAGGGACTGTTAGAACAGTCGTGAGATGAATTCATGCTCCCTGCATGGCATGGTTTTGTTTCTTTGCTATTTGCCAACCTAATTCTATAAATCATATGCAAAGCATTTTACAAATACTGATCTGCCTCAGCTTCCAAGAAAAAGAAAGGAAATAAAGAAAAAGAACCCCTTTTAAAATATGAGAAGCGGCCTCAGTACTTGTGCCTAAAAGTCAGTATACCTGATGTTAACTGATGATACTACAGGCAAAACAGGGTCGCTCTCTTTGCTTTTCAGGATCTGTCAAGTGAGTGATGAAGAGTTCAAAGGTATTTGAACTTTCAGATTGATCCAGCTGCCTAAACCCAAACCATGGTTTTATCCACATGTTTCAATTTCCCCCATATCAATATGATGTTGACAGTCACCACAAACTCAGTTGCGGGCATCCAACATGTTAGGCAGTTTCTTCCGTGACACTGAAAATCTTGCCCCCTCCTCCCAAATCTAGCAGTAGCATGGCAGAAACCATCTACCCGTGGGCTGAGCTGCTGTACAGAAATGGCTCACTTGAGGGGCTTCAAGGAAGCTGTTTATAAGAACAGTCCTTAAAAACAACAAACGTAATCCTGGATTAATATTTTGTATTTCTTTCAGCTATGCTGCCATGGGGGTTGGGGAGGGCTGTTGTATTCTAATTGCCATTGCATTCCTTCTGTGCTTCTTTGATGCTGTAACGCTTATCTCTAAGTTCTGCAGGTGGTGGTATGTTGATGTCTAGTTTCAAGGGAACCGTGGGAGCGAGCTTGGTTCCCAGCTTCAGCGCTAGCGGCTGGAGGGCATTCTCCCACGGGGGGGTGGGGGTATTTGGCCGGGGGGGGGGGGGGGGGGGGTGCATACGAATACCCTATATCCTATTATGCCCATGGGCAGCCGCCATTCTTAACAGTACCTATGTTAATGCATCTATAGCTCTTCAATAAAGTATTATCTTTCCTGAGAAGCGTGTACTACGTCGTTGGCTGTGGGTTCTGACAATTTCCAGTTCTCCCTACCACTCTCCTGGATGTTGACCTTCATCTGAAAGGTACTACCACTGGGATTCTGAGCTTTTCCAAAGCACATGCTCTACTAGGGGACCTACATGACTTCCCCAGCAGCACTGGCTTTGGGGAACCCACACTTGCTGCATTTGGTCACAGACACAACAAAGCCCTCTACGGTTTCACAAAGCAGCTTCTGGGCTTCAGACCCAGTTGTCTGAATTAGGCTGCAAATTCACTGGGGGTGGACAGGGGGAGCACCAAGAAAAAGTTTTCATACCGGAAGTGTAAATCCTTGAAAGAAAACTGAGTCTCAATAATCCCTGTAGTCTTGACTCGTGAGCGAAGGACATCCTGCTCATTTGGTATGTAGCCAGGGGTGGTTAGTCTGTCCAAATCATTGAGGTAACTGCAGAAATCAGACAGAGATGAAGAAGAATTACCTCGGCAGGGATGAAGAGCCTCATTCTGGTTTGCATCTACCATTCATCAAGAGAAAATGGAATTGAACCTGCAAGGAAACCACTGCCCGGAAGGCAGATTTCCTTTTATGCACTGTGGTCAGGTTCTAGACTCCCTCATTGATGCAGTTCCTGCAAAATCACTACTGAGCCATATTAAACGACTGAAAAAGTAAACAGTGTTTGTAGCTGACTCTTAAGACAAGACACATTAATCAGAAATGCACTGTTATGCTGGATTTTATTTTTAAATCAATGTTCTTCTATGATTCCACCCCCCCTCCCCTGGGATTTAGGTCAGCTTTTTTTATACGTTCTCAAAGAATTCGTTAAAATAAAGAAGTTTCAAAAATAAAGTGCAAGTATATCATAGTAGCAAATAACAGGTGTTTAATACATGTGCAATTTGAGAGTGAAGAATATTGTTGTGAAAGCATTACAGAAAGCCAACCTGCTACTTACTAGGCAGCCGAGTCATTGAGCTGGTATTCCGATGCCCTTTCAAAGCAGGCCTGGATCCCTGGGTCCTTCCACAACCGATGGATTATTCCAGCCAGTTCTGGAGACATGGTGCCATCCTCCATGGAATCTGCTAGCGCAAAAAGCTGCTTTTCGTCTTCCTGAAATTAGAACTGTACAGCTGAGTCTTTCCTTTTGTTTTCTTTGAAAATACCATGCAGGATTTGAATGAGAAGAGAAACCAGCATCTATCAAATTCCACAATGTCCACCTGGGCCAGCAGAGGCTCTGGGGTTCTCAGTTTTGAGTTGGGACATTCCTGGAGATTAGGGAGCAGAGCCTGAGGAAGGAAGTGATTGGGGACGGGAGAGAGTTCAAACGGGATGTAATTCCATAGACTCCATGTCTTCCACGTCCTCTGGAAATAATGGGGAATTTCACATTACCAGTTTTCTCCCGGTTTGAAACGTTTCCAGATGAACCGGTACAGGGCTGCCGTTTCACACATGGCTTTTCCTACCGGAAAGGAGCCGATTCACAAGCGGTTTGGCGTTTCACACACGCACCGCTTCGTTTTCCCGCCGTTTTCTTCCCGCGCGGGCGATCGTGTTTTGTTTTTTTTTTTTAAGGTTCGGCTTATAGCGATATATCGATATATCGCTATACCAGAACCTCAAATGGTCGCAATAACAATCCCATTGGAATGCGACTCCTTAGAGGTTTCGGTATAGCGATATCTCTCCCTTATTATAAAAGAGTTTTGGGTGCCAGAATTCTAAAATTGGCCCCTTTAGTGTTAGGCCGAAAAAACTGCCACTCGGAAGACACTGGCTGGGTTCATTGGCTGCTTTGTGCAGTCCCGGCCAGCGTTCCAAGGTCATTTACATATGGAAGCTGATTGGACTACACTCCATTCCACACCTCAAACTCACCCCCCCCCCGCAAGGCAGTTGGAATTTTCAGTTGGGAGAGGAGAATGATGTCAGCTGCTCCCTAGACAGAGGCTGTGTGTGTGTGTGGGGGGGG